TCACTTGCACTTGCAATTTTTTTGACAAATTATAGTCTACCTCATTATCTTTTTTCCCACATTTTTCTTCACTATTCATGACAACTGGCATATGTATTGTTTTCAGTTATTATCAAGGAAGTGAATAGGCAGACCACGGGGTCTAGCTAGCCAAAAGGATAGGTGGACCCCGTGGTCTACCCAACAAAATGCTAGGTTTAGGATGTGAACCCCGGAGTCAGTGTAGTGAAATAAGTAGATCTAGGTTTAACTAAGGATCGGTGGACCCTGGGGTCAACATAGTGAAATAAGTAGATCTCAGTTTATTTTATAGTAGGACTGGCGGAGCCCGTGGTCAACGTAGTGAAATCAGTAGATCTAGGTTTAATTAAGGATTGGTGGACCCTGGGGTCAACGTAGTGAAATAAGTAGGTTTAATCAAGGTGTCCCGGGGGTCCACCAATCCTTAGTTAAACCTTCTTATTCCTCTACGGCTATGGTGACTCCGGGGTCCACCAATCCTTTTAAAATTAAACCTACTTATTTCTCTACGGTGACCTCGGGGTCCACCAATCTGTAAAGAAACCTACTTATTTCACTACGGTGACCCCGGAGTCCACCTGTCCTAAAAACTAGTATTTCGCTAGGTAGACCCCGGGCCCCGGGGTCCACCTTAAACCTGCTTATTTATCGCTACGTTGACCCCGGGGTCCACCAATCCTTACCTAAACTTAAACCAAACCTTATTTCACTGCGGTGACTCCGGGGTTCACAACCTCCTAGTATCGCTATGCAGACCCCGGAGTCCACCTCCTGTACAGGACTGTACTATTATAAATTTGCAATTTCATTGATTAGCATATTTAAAAAATATATTGAATCAGAGACTCGCTGTCTAAAAAGTCCACTGCTAATGCTATTCTTATCGAAGAAAATGGCACAATTTGATTTTATGACATGTTTTTAAAAAAGTTTCAAAAATATCCAGAAAATAACATAAAATGATTATATAGATCTATATATATATATATATATATATATATATATA